ACTCATTTGAAACCTGTGGGCTGTTCTGTGCCGAGTGCTGAAGTTAGGGACTGGGAACTCAGAGGTGAATGAGAGTGCTTCTGCCTTCGTCCGGTAGCTCACAGCCCAGTGGGGACAGATACTCTTATGTAAACAGACGATTGTAATATAGCTGTTTACTAGTTAAGCAAGTATTAATTGAAGGCCAGTCGGGCACCCACTCGATGGCAGTGAGTTTGGTTTGAGAACTAGGTGATAAGTAAGCATCGTTTTGAGTGGGTTGGGCAACAGATGAACAATAAACAAAGCTCCTGCCCTCAAGGAGATTACATTCTCTGTGTGTGAGTCCACGTTCCAGTATTTTCCATGTTTTACAAAGACTATTGGATAGATGTTAAATGTAACAGTATAAGAAACGTCCATTGACTTGATTTCAGGATCTATATTGCAACTTTAAGAAATCCCTTTAATCTTTAAGAAGTCCCTACTCTGGAGCTGTGGTGTAATATCAAAGAACACAATTGTACTGAGTATTTTAATAGTTTTTTCAATTACATACCAGTGTGAAGCAAGATTCTCTTCAGCCAAAAAACTGTATGGGAACAAATTAAATGCAGAAACTGATGTGAGACTTTTATTTAGCCAGATTTTTAAAGAGATTTTTTAAAATGGAAAACAGTGCTATTCTCACTATATTTTTTGTTTGTTTGCTTTGGAAATACATAGCCATTCACTAATGTATTATTCATGTCGATGTACAATGTGATTGTCTTTTTGGTGAATTAATAACTGCTTATTATATGGCAAACATTGGTAGATAAAACCCAGAGTTAAGAATTAAGGTTGCAGATGTACAACCTCGACTCAAATATTCCCTTACCATAAGAACACTTTGTTCTAACAATCCGGCATTCTGTGATGCTCACCTTCCATACATGATTGCTGAAGACAAAATGCGTGCATAAGCAAATGTGGTGAAGAAAGCTGATGGTGCCGGCCTATCAGAAGATATAACATCTGGGGTCTTAAAGGCTTGAAGATAAACAAGCGACCATCTAGCTGAGAAGCAACAAAGCCCACATGGAAGAAGCACAGCAGCCTGTGTGACCATGAGGTGTTGATGGGATTGGATATCAGCATCTGAGACCCAGAACAAAACCATACCCAAGTTGAATGGGGGTGGGTGGGAATGGAGTGGAGACCCAATGCCCTCACAGACGGGTCACAGAGAAGAGATGAGCCAGTCAGGGTGCAGTATAGCACCGTTGAAACACAACTTTCCTCTAGTTCTTTGGTGCTTCCCCCCACTATTCATGACCTCAGTTCTACCTTAAAAATTGGATTAGACCAGAGCATGCACACTGCTACAGATAAGAGCCCCTAACACAGGGAATCCAGGATAGATAAACTCCTCAGGGCCAACAATGAGAGTAGAGATACCAGGAGGATTAGGGGAGGGTGGGGGAAGAAAGGGGGAATTGATCACAAGGATTAACCTAGAACCCCCTCCCAGGGGGACGAGTAATGGAAAAGTGGGTGAGGGGCAACAGAGGACAATGTAAGATATGGAAATAATAATCAATAACTTATCAAGGGTTTGTGAGGGAGGGCAGGTGGGGGAGGGAGGGGGAAGAAATGGGGAGCTGTCGGGCTCAAGTGGAAAGAGAATACTTTGAAAATGATAGCGCCATATGTGCAAATGTGCATGGCACACTGGGTGAATGTATGGATTGTGATAAGAGATATACGCGCCCCCAATAAAAGTATTTTAAAAAAACAAAAACCTGGAGTGGCTAAAACAATGGGCTCGAGTACAGCAAGGGCTGTGGCGGAGAGGGTCGCCTTGAGTGGGAACCGGCACGATGGCCAACAACAGTGCCCATCACAATCTGTAAATAGTTTGGTTTTTTGTTCATGTGGTACCCAAACGGACTGTGTGCTCTGTGAAGACAGGGATGTTGGGTGTCCTCTTTTTATTACATGCTCAGCACCCAGCCAGGCATCATCAGACGCAGTGGGTGCTCCTCCACTCACACCTGCCTTTGCTTACTTGGAGTTCCCGCAGCACTCAGTGTGCTCTCGCCCACGCCTCCTTGGCCCTTCTCACAGTTGTTGCTATGTATGGTTGAGCCCGTCATTGTAGCCACTGTATCATCCGTCTCATTACTGCCTTTTTCTTGCTGCCCTTCTACATTACCAAGCATGAAGTTCTCTAGGGACTCTCCTCCCTGATAGCATGTTCAAAGCACCTGCCTTAGAATTCAAGAAAACAGTTACCACAACCTGCCTTCTCTGCCTTGAATTTAACTGGCCCAGCCGATCCCCAAGGATGCCATTGTTTTGACTGCCCGCTCTCCTTTTTGAAGGCGCGTTAATGAGACTTAGACAAGTGGATTACCGAGAGAACTATCTGTAGGCATCCACTTATCAGAGAAACATGTTTAAATACATTGTGTTTTGAAGAAACCAAGGCATATATGAACTGGAATCCTACTAGCAATACTTTTTGATGTACCCTTGTCTACAGCAGGGTAGAGGGGAATTTTACCTACCTAGATATGTGTGTGTTTGTGTAATACATATCAATAAACATGAATTAGGAAAAATGTTCCCCAAGAATTTGAGCTGAGAACTGAAGGCTGAGTTGGACTTACCTCTGAAAAGGAAGTGAGAAAAATCACACGAAGAATATCTTAGACTAAATAGTGTGGAGGAGAGGCCCTCGGATAGAATGTTGTACTGAATGCTCTCAAACGGAAAGAGGACATGTGAGGGGGCCAAGAGAGAGTGGGAGATTGGTGGGATAGGAAGATGGAAAAGCAGATGATACTTAGATTGTACAGTCTTATAAGAACATGCAAGGAGTTCATTCTTTATCCTCAGAGAAGCCACCAAAGGGTCTTTAAACAGGAGAGGGACTTTCTCAGATTGGCTTAAAACATTTTTTTTACAACATCCAGTCTATAGGGTTGGGCATAGTTAACATGTTGGGCTTCTAAGGTTAAGGTCTCCAGTTAAAAAAAACCACCAGCCATCTACAGGAGAAAGGTGGAACTGTCTACTCCCTTAAAGAGTTACAGTCTTGGAAACCCACAAGGGCAGTTCTACCCTGTCCTACAGGGTTGCCATGAATCAGAATCAACTCAGAGGCAGTGAGTTTGGTTTTTTGGTCAGTAGTGTGGAGAAGAGGTTAGAGAAAAACAAGAGACACTCTTGAAAGATTACAAGTAGACCTGGTGAAAAATACTGGTTCAGCTTGTTAGTTGTGGAGAGGAATAAATGATTCCTGAGAGTCATTGCATTCTACTAAGGAAGAGGTTCCAATATCTGGAATACAGGTAACAAAGCAGTGACAGAGCTGGGGAAGGTAAGCAATTTGAGATAATAACAATTTTAGAGATAATTTCATAATCATGTAGCACTTTGTACAAGTATGTACACATGCAAAAAGACTTGTGGTTATATATAAGTATTATAACTTAATGTATTAAAACATACACAAGGAATAGAACATTGCCAGTACCTTAGAAGCTTTCTTAGGACATACTCTTAGTTGTTATCCCTCTGAAAAGGTGTCCAGTTTGTCAGGGTCCCCAAGCTCACCCTTCTATTAGGAGATTCACTAGAAGGACTCTTGAGACTCAGCCTACATTTCTGTTCATGGCGAAGACTTATTACAGTGATGGAGGAAAGGTACACATTCTAAAAAATTCTATTTTTTGTTTTAAGTATACCTAACTATCTTGTTCTATTGCCCTAGCTTCCAACTTCCTTGTTTTTCTAAAATTGCCTTGGCTATTCTTGGCCCTTTGAATTTCCATAGAAAGATTTTTAGAATGAAGAAAATGTTCTAAAATTGATTGTGGAGATCACTGAAGACAAATGGGTGCATAAGCAAATGTGGCAAAGAAAGCTGATGGTGCCTGGCTATCAAAAAGCATAGTGTCTGGGGTCTTAAAGGCTTGAAGGTAATCTAGTGGCCATCAAGCTCAGAAGCAACAAGCCCACATGGAAGAAACACACCAGCCTATGCGATCACGAGGTGTCGAAGGGATCAGGTATAAGGCATCATTAGAACAAAAAATCTTACCATAGTGAATGATGGGGGGAGTGCGGAGTGGAGACTCAAAGCCCATTAGTAGGCCACTGGAGATCCCCTTGTAGAGGGGTCTCGGGGAGGAGACGAGCCAGTCAGGGTGCGATGTAGCAACGATGAAAAATACAACTTTTCTCTAGTTCCTAAATATTTCCTCCCCGCTCCCACTATCATGATATGAATTCAACCTTGCAAGTCTGGCTAGACCAGAGGATGTACACTGGTACAGATAGGAACTGGAAATACAGAGAATCCAGGGCGGATGAGCCCTACAGGACCAGTGGTGTGAGTGGTGATACTGGGAGGGTAGAGGGAGAATGGGTTGGAAAGAAGGAACCGATTACAAGGAACTATATGTGACCTCCTCCCTGGGGGACAGACAACAGGAAAGTGGGTAAAGGGAGACGTCAGACAAGGCAAGATATGACAAAATAATAATTTATAAATTATCAAGGGCTCATGAGGGAGGGGGAAGCGGGGAGGGAGGGGAAAAATGAGGACCTAATGCCGGGGGCTTAAGTGGAGAGCAAATGTTTTGAGAATGATGAGGGCAATGAATGTACAAATGCGCTTTACACAATTGATGTATGTATGGATTGTGATAAGAGTTGTATGAGCCCCTAATAAAATGATTTTAAAAAATTGATTGCGGGATGATTATACAACTCTTTTTAATGTACTTAGACCATTGAATTCTATGGTACATGAGTTATGTGGCAATAAAATTCTTTAAAAAGCTTAAAGCTTTAGAATCATCTTGCCTTTCATCTGTCTCTCCCTATGTCTCCTCACCTTCACACAAAATAACTTGTTGGGATTGTTATTGTATTGAATCAGCAAATGAATTTTTTGGGGGAAATTATGTCTTTAAAATTCAGATTCGAATCCATGAACTTGTATACCCCTTTATTTACTTAAGTGTCTCTTTTTAAAGCTAGAAGTCTTGAACATTGCTGTGTTTATTCCTACCCTGTTTCCTTGAAAATAAGACAGTGTCTTATATTAATTTTTGCTCCCAAAGATGTGCTAGGTCTTATTTTCAGGGGATGTATTATTTTTCCATGAAGAAGAATACGGTAACATTTATTGTTTATTGTTTTATTAAAAGAGACCTCACACTTGTCTGCTCCAGCTGCGCTGCGGCCAACAGTGAGCTGTGTGGAGTCGCCCGCCGCTATGGCGCAGAGTCCAGAGTTACAGTGGCTTGGGGGGGGACGACTTATTTTTGGGGGGATGCCTTATATTTCAGCGAGAGGCAAAACTGTAAGTAGGTCTTATTTTCAGGGGGTGTCTTACTTTTGGGGAAACGGGAGGTATTTGATATGGAAGGTATAATACATGTGGTTTTGAGAAGTGGTCTCTTTGCTCAATCAGTTCTTGATTGCTTGAGTCTGAGTTGCTGTTGATGGCAGAAAGCAATGTTAACTTAGTCTAGAGATACTCTAGAACAGGGGTCCTCAAACTACGGCCAGTGGGCATGCGGCTCGCTGAGGACATTTATCCGGCCTGCCAGGTGCTTTTGCCCCGTTTTGTTTTTTTTTAATTCAAAATAAGATATGTGCAGTGTGCATAGGAATTTGTTCATAATTTTTTAAAAAACCATAGTCTGGCCCTTCAATGGTCTGAGGGACAGTGAACTGGCCCCCTGTTTAAAAAGTTTGAGGACCCCTGCTCCTCCAGAAGATAAAGGGTTCTGTGTAGAAGGTCTCCAGATTTCAGTCTTATAAAACAAACAACTGCAACAGGATGCAAAGTATTTCATAGACAGTTTTTATGCAAAATTCTTGGCTATTGAAGGTTGAAATGTAACCATAATGTACAACTGAGTAAAAGTATGATTAAGGTGTAGATGTCTTTGGCAGCAGTACTGTGTACAGTAATATTCCTTGATGGAATGCGATGCTGTACAGTTTGGATGTGTTTTAAGTTTAGGCTTGAAAATCTTAACGTTTCACCAAGATTTACCATATTTAGAGTAGAGGGTATTGTCAGGATGATGTGTGTAGGGATGGACAGTAATGTTAAGGCAAGTATATACTATGATGTAATTATAAAATGAATATGTTTTCAATTTGTGGCACTCTATCTGTGGTAAGGCTTTTATACTTCTTAAAACTCGATTGAAGGAAAGACATGGTTGTGACCGTTGCGAATTACTGATATTTTTATCCCCCTTCCATGTGCAAGGGGGGTAGTGACAGTACCCACCCATGAAAGGACTGAACCCTCGTGGTGCATGCTATGATTAAACATGTGGCTGCTAACTGAAAGCGTGGTGGTATTCAAACACACCCAGTGGCTCCATGTGATAAAGGCCTGGAGATCTGCTTCCATAGACTTCATCCTGGGAAGCGCTGTGAGGCAATGCAGTTCTGCTCTGTCACACTAGCACTCAGTGAGTCTGAATAAACATGACAACATGCAACGATATCAGCAACATGGACAGGATTTAGGACACTGTCTGGCTCATAGTGCTGAGTGAGCAGTATTTTCCCCCCAGAAAATAGATAAGCACCAAGAAGGCTAGGATTTTCTCGTGTGTTTTCAACACTTGCTGTGTTCTACATTATATAGAATTCATGGCGCTTGCACTTTTAGGTTTGCACTTTGCATATATGTAGATCATGAATCACATATATAATAAGGTTAAGGAGTGCAGACTTCATCCTTCTATAAAACTTGTTTACACAATGACATGTTGTTTCATTTAAGTTGTTTTTCTGAGGGTGATATTAGACTATTGGCCCCTTGGTTGTGCAACTTTTTGCTTGTTTTGCCAACGATTGAGTCCTCTCTGATAGAATGTCCTGGGGGTTAGAAGACTAGTCCAAGTTCTGGCTTTACTGCTGGTTTCCGACATTACTTTTTTTTGCACTGAATAAGTATGTATTTATAATTAATAATTAACCAGCTGAACTTAGTTTAAATAATTCCAATTTTTTGGCATCATCTAAAGCAGCGGTTCGCAACCTATTCATAAGAGTAGCAAAATTACAGTTATGAAGTAGCAACGAAAATAATGTTATGGTGGGGGGTCACCACAACATGAGGAACTGTATGAAAGGGTCACTGCATTAGGAAGGTTGAGAACCACTGATCTAAAGCATCATAGTTAGGAGCCAGTTGGACATGTGCCTTCTCTCCATCAGGCCTGAAGAAGGTGTTACCCTTCCTCGGCTATGGCAGTGTCTTAGAGTTTCCTCATTACCTGTTTGATCTGGTGCCAACAGAACATCCTTGACATCCACAGTGAACCACAGTGTGTTGTTTTGGCTGGCTCAGTGGTCAAGGGGAACTTAATGAAGGCATAGTAGCCAAGCTTTTTCTTCTGGGGGTGCGCTTCTGAGGATATTTGGACTGCTTCTTAACCTGTGTCCTGGGCCACTGGAAGGTGGGCAGCTCTTCTTTTTATGGCGGGTGGGGGCTGTGGACGCCTTTCAACACCGCCTTCTTGGCTTTCAACATCTTTGCTTAGCCTGCAGTTTTGGCAGGGTAAGGGGCTTTGTGCTTCACCTTTGGAGCCATCTCCATAAAAAGACCCGTATTACTTCATAACCTTGTCTGTAATTGATTGGTTTGCACTAAAGAGTTTCTGAGATCTCGCTCAAGTCTCATCCTGTTATTAATCAGCATCTCCACATTCTGTTCTTGGGTGGCAGGAGGCAGAGACCTGTTCATGATAGGTATTTGCCTTCAAACTGCATGCTGAAGTTTAAATGTGGAGCTCATATTCCATTATTATGTTTTGGTTTTATTTATAGATGCCAGAAGTGGGTGGAGAATTGTAGAAGAGCCGACTTAGAAGATAAAACACCTGACCAGCTTAATAAGCATTATCGATTATGTGCCAAACACTTTGAGACCTCGATGATCTGTCGAACTGTAAGTAATAGAACGCTTGGGTAGTGTTTCCTCATTTTCTCACTCAGTATCAGGTGGGAAACGTGTGTATTTCTTAATGTTGGAAGGTATTCCTATATCCTACATTTTTTCATAAATAAGACAAATCTAAACTGAATTATATCTTTTCTGTGCTTATCCTGTTTTGTTGTTGTTTTAACCACTTTGCTCCTCATAGCCATTCCTGCTCACCAGAAGTAACCAACCAAGTTAAAACTTCTGTGTAGCCTTCAGAAAACTTTGGATGGTTATAAAAGTGTGCATTTTTAGGGTAAATACGGTGTTCTAGTGTCTCTAGAGCTTTTTATAAGTGAAATCTTAATTTAAGAATGAAGATCTTTGTTTTCTTTTTTTGGAATTTAAAAAGTTATTTACAACCAATCCTTATTTATGTACTACATACATGTCACAACAGGAAGCAAACCATCCACGTAATGTGGAAAGATACCATATATATTCGCGTATAAGCCAACCCGAATTTCAGCCGAAGTACCTAATTTTACCACAAAAACTGCATTAAAAATGTGCTGAAAAACTTGGCTTATACACGAGTATATACAGTATATGGTTCTTCCATTTGTAATTATAATTTTAAATAAAAACCTGGCATTCTCCACCTGACTGCTGGTAAATGAGCTTGGCCAAGTCACTTGCCCTCTCTGGGCCCCAGTTTCTGATGAGGCAGTTAGACCAAACAATATATGAGATGTCCAAGATTTTTAATCCTCTGTGATTCTGTTAGTGCTCCGATTCATGAAAGGCATAAATAGGACAGATTTGAATAAAACTAAACTTGAAAGCCTTTAATAACTAGGAAGGCAGTTTTGTCAAACAGATTCTGTATTCTCCTTTAGCTCTAACTAATATTTCTTCTCAGATATTGGGATCGACATAAACTTGACTTGTAGAAGCTACACTATATGTATTGTGCAGCAATTTATTTTGATATTTTTTTCAGATACATTTTGCAGAGGCATCAGAAAACTAAAGAATGATTGGGTTATTTTATTTCTCAAAATTAATTGAAGCAGATACTTGTGAAGTCACTGGGAGGTGAGCCAATTCTGGTTCAAAAATTTAATCTTAATATTTGAGGGATATTTTTGCCTTGTTTGTTAAGATGGAAGTGAGAGCAAAATAAGGGATTTCATATGTTTCAAAGGCAAACTACTTTTGTGTTCTTGGTACTAAGTAAAAATATCCCAAATTATTATTTTAAATAATACAAGTCATGTGTATTTTTATATTTTTATCTTAATAATAAATATGGTCTCTCAACTAGATGATTCCTTTCAGATTAGTACGAGAAATTTAAAATGTGTAGTTCACTCTTATTTTCTTTAGTCTGAGTGTAGACCAGAAAGATAAGCTCTTTTTGAAAAAATTCCAAATCATTCTTTAATTTTGAATAAGTTAATCCAAATGTGAGAAATTGTACTTTCTACACATGTATATGTTGAAGGTGCCACTGTAAAAAATTGGCTTATTTGATAACTGTATCCACATTTTGAAAATGTTTTTAACCTCATTTGTTGGGCATTTAAGATCCATTCAGTAAGCATTCATCACCACTTGAACCACAGCCAAATACTTTAGTTTTGATGCCAGTGTAGAAATATTTTCGAATCTGAATTCAGCAATTAATGATCTAATCTTTATACTGAGTTAAAATTATCATTCATATAAATTGAAGATAGCCTTTTTGAGGTGCGTACTTACAAGTAAATATTTATAAAATTCTAATACTTATACATTTATATAGTCCGTTTTCTGGTTTGTAATATCTTTGAGTGTTATTTGTGCTTAGCAAATTATTGATTTTATTTTTAAAAACTTATTTGAATGTTTTACTCATGCCCTCTTTAATGCAGTCATGTGTGACCTGGCCTCGGTTCAGGTAGTGTCCAGCTGCCTAGCCATCTGTGGTCCTAACCCCTGTAAAGCCAATGGAGACAGTGGTTTATCAGAAAAACCAACACTACTGTGGGCACATCTAAAGAGAGGGGTATCCTGTATATTGAGATACGCATTTGACTGATGATGTTAGAAACAAACTGTACCTACACATTCCAACTTACATACAAATTTGACTCAAAGACAGACTTAGGAATGAAGCTAATCTGTAGTATGCCTGTGTAATATGATGGTCATACAGCATCCAAACAACATAATGTTTTATTTCTCAGAACATATTGTGGTCATTAAGTGACGCCTGACTGTAGTTGTCAAAGTATCAAGAATTAACTATGTTGTGTTTGCTTATTTTTAAGATATTTGTGCAGTATGAAAGGTTGGAAGCTTTGATTATTATAGTTTTTCTCTCTTCAATATAATATGTGTCTGCTTAATCCTTAATTCAAACTCCCCAATAGGCTCAGGACCAGGGACCCAGTTCTAGAAGCTTAGAGTCATTAAGAAACCAGGTTTTCTTTGTTTTGTATGAGGCATGGAATTAGGCTGAAAAGTATTGAATCTAAAGAGAAACTCTTCCCAAATGTGTATAACAATTCTGGGTAAAGCCTAAGAAAGTATGTTCTAATTAGAAAAACGAATTTATTATTTGCAACTAAAGCTCAAAGATAGTGTGTTTTATTTCTTTAGATATCTGGATATTGGTGTGAGTGCTTAAGTATGCAATAGTTAGCTGAAGGTTGGCAATCTTTGCCTGTCCAGAGGCATCTTGGATGACAGTCCTGTCCATTTGCTTCTGAAAGAAAGGTCATACGTAGAAAACCTTATGATAAGGCACTTATACTTTTTAAAGATTTACCAACAGTCAGGGTTCACTGGATGGCAGCTAACACTGTGTAGATATTTTCCCTCTGTGTCTTCCAAATTCCCTTCCCCAGGTGAAAAAATTTAGGAGTTGTTACTGTTTGGCATAGTCTTTGAACATGCTTCTTAGTAGTCAGTCATGAAACAGTCACTGCTTCAAAAAAAAAATCTACTTAGTGTACTCTCTGTCTTTGATCTGTGAAAATCCAGGAAGAAATGGAAGAAAACAGTTTCTTTGGACTAGCTAGGGAAACAATAGTTGCAGTTAGCCAGTTGCTTCTCTGTTTTAATAATACACTTCTTGTCATTACCTGGCTGCCTCAGGATGGGCTGTGGAAGACTGTCACTAAGTGTATCCAGCATCTAGCCTGGTTGGATTAGAGTAGAAAATGGTCATCCTTCAAAGATAAGATCATTCAAAGTGGAACAGAATTTAGAAATACCCCCTTTACTGTTTGCAAAACTATGGTTATGTATATCACTTCTAGTATAAGAGATGACTTAAGGTGGCACATGAATCAAATTTTATTTTAGAAGTTCTGTAATATGTGTTAAAAATCTTAACCAACCCATCAGTCAGTACCATCAACTTCAGTCCGACGGTGTTAACTTAAAAAGCAAGCGGTGACATTACATGGGGCATCAAAAAGTTCTTGGAAAAATACCGTAAACATCATTTCCTTTTCCACGAACTTTTTGAAGACCCCTCTTATAATGACTAGCATGTGAATAATTTTATTTTATGAAGGGATCTAATTCAGCATCTGAATATTACTCAGAATAGGAAACAGATCCAGAAGGGGAAAATAATTTGACCAGGATCTCCTATAGGGAGCCACTGGTAGAACTTGGCCGCGTTCCTGGCTGCCAGGAGCTAGTCATCTTTCATAAAGGAGGGAAGCATTGTTGTAAACACTGAAGAGGGTGATCATTTCAGGAGACTTGGTACCAGCTGTACATCTGATGAACTCAAAAAGGACACACCAGACACAATCTCTGGGAGTCTGCATTAGAAATACATCACGTGCAGAATACAAGGACACTTTGTTTTTCATGCCTACCATCAATTCAGTTCCTTAATTTATAAGTTGCCAGAAGAGGAAATGCAAAAGGAGACGCACGTGAACGGACTTCAAATTCTGCCAGAGCGCTGGGGAAATCATTAACACAGAATTAGATTTATGTATAACACATTCTTAGGAACCTCTCTTATTAACACTTTTCTTTTTCAGAGTCCTTATCGGACAGTTCTGCGAGATAATGCAATACCAACCATATTTGATCTTACCAGTCATCTGAACAATCCACATAGTAGACACAGAAAACGAATAAAAGAATTGGTATGTTTATGCGCTTTCAGTTTACCCCTGCCCTATAATACTATGAAATAAAATATGGATGCATTTATATTAAAGTTGATCCAAGTTGTTATTCTCTCTATCAAGGGTACTGTTTTTGGAAATGAATGCTTTGGTTTTTGTTAAAGTAGTCAGGATGTAAGTGATTCATTTGTTTTAGTATTTAAATGGGAAAATTGCCCTCAAATTTAGTTGGGCCAGAGTGGTTCATTACTGGCCACTTGTTCATTCCCTTCTTGGGAAGAAAACACATGTTACCTTTTCTTCTGGAGTAAGGAAAATGGAGTTGAAGTATTTTTCCGGAAGTCGGCATACAGTGTTAAAGGGAAAATGTAAACATTAAGAGACAAAATTTAAGAGACATGAAGTACTGACAGGGTTTAAGAAAAACTTTCATACCTCTATATAGCATCATTTATATATGTTTTTAGATTCCTTTTTTATCCTTCAGATCAGCTGACTGAAACTTATCTGTATTTTGGTACAAACTAAAATTACTCAGACTTCTCAGTTAATGGCTTTCTGTTAACATTGTTTTTAAAAATTATTTTCTCTTTTTCCTCAATACTCATTCCCTTTCCTATTTGTATCCATGTTAGTGTATTTAATAAATATCATTTCAGTTTACCTGGTATGTATTTTTTAAAGATAATTTTCCTCCATTTTATCTTTCATATTTAGGAGTTGGCATGTGGCCAGTAGGATTTTTCCCTATGAGATCTAGTTTTCCTAACATAGTTCTTTTAATTCGTACATCCTTGTCCTCATTGGGATAGGATTCCATCTGTCTCATTCTAAGTGTCCGTATGAGGAGCCTTCAGAGAAAGAGTTCATACATACTCTGCCCCATTGTGATATTGGACTGCTGTTCCATTGTCGTGGATTTATAACAGAACTTGCTTTCAAACGAGATGATTTCTTTTGGTTAGCAGCTGACCGCAGCCCACTATGCTGCCAGCCTTCCTTCGATTAGGGTGACTTTGTAACACTTCTTTTTCAAAAGAGGCTTTGCCATAGGGGGGTCTTTATTCTTCCATGAGAGTTATTTGTCTCGTTCTCTAGAAATTCTGTTGAGGTTTTTATTATAACTGCTTTGAATTAACTTCTTTACATATTAATTTGCATTACCCATGGATAGGAGAAACAAAGTTGCTAACAAGTAGCAGCAATCTTTGATAAAACTAAATACCAGCCCTTTGAAAAGACTATTCTAGGCCATCGAGCTCCGAGGCAACAAAGCCCACATGGAAGAAGCACACCAGCCTGTGCAACCACGAGGTGTCGAAGGGATCAGGTGTAAGGCATCATCAGAACAAAAAATCTTACCATAGTGAATGATGGGGGGAGTGCAGAGTGGAGATCCAAA